CTGAGCAAAGACCTGGGTTAATTCCCTACTGTATCCCCGGCAACCAGAAGAACACATCATCGTCATCAGCAGCAGCAACAAAAAATGTTTCCTATGTGACAGGCACAATTCCAAGCACTTTTTTTTTTTGAGATGGAGTCTTACTCTGTTGCCCAAGCTGGAGTGCAGTGGCGCGATCTCGGCTCACTGCGATCTCTGCCTCCTGGGTTCAAGCGATTCTCCTGCCTTAGCCTCCCAAGTGGCTGGGACTACAGGCACACACCACCACGGCCGGCTAGTTTTTGTATTTTTAGTAGAGATGGGGTTTCACCATCTTGGCCAGGCTGGTCATGAACTCCTGACCTCAGGTGATCCGCCCACCTCAGCCTCCCAAGGTGCTGGGATTACAGGCGTGAGCCACCGCGCCCAGCGACACTTTTTATTTAATGCTCTCAACAACCTTATTTGCAACAACCCATCTTATAGATGGGAAAATTGAGATCCAAAGAAGTTTAGTGACTCGCCCAAGGTTTCACAGCCACTGACAGGCAGTCAGAATTTGGTGGGGTTTTTTTTTTTTTTTTTTAGATGGAGACTTGTCCTGTCACCCAGGCTGGAGTGCAATGGTGCGATCTCAGCTCACTACAACTTCCGCCTCCTGGGTTCAAGCAGTTCTCCTGCCTCAACCTCCTGAATAGCTGGGACTACAGGCACATGCCACCACACCCGGCCAATTTTTTGTGTGTGTTTTTACTAGAGACAGGGTTTCACCATATTGACCAGGCTGGTCTTGAACTCCTGACCTCAAGTGACCTGCCTGCCTCAGCCTCCCAAAGTGCTGGGATTACAGGTGTGAGCCACCATGCCCAGCCAGCAGTCAGAATTTGAACCCAGGCTGGGCACAGTGGCTCATGCCTTTAATCTCAACACTTTCGGAGGCAGAAGCAGAAGGATTGCTTGGGCCCAGGAGTTTGAGACCAGCCTGGGCAACATAGCAAGACTCTGTCACTACAAAAAAATTTTAGAAATTAGCTGGCATGGTGGTGCACAGCTGTGGTCCCAGCTACTCAGGAGGCTTGAGTCGGGGAGGTCAAGGCTGCAGGGAGTCCTCCCACTCACTGCACTCCAGCCTGGACAACAGAGTGAGACTTTGTCTCAATAAAAAAAGAATTTGAGGCTGGACGTGGTGGCTCACGCCTGTAATCCCTGCACTTTGGGAGGCCGAGGCAGGTGGATCACCTGAGGTTGAAAGTTCAAGACCAGCCTGCCAACATGGAGAAACCCCATCTCTACTAAAAATGCAAAAAATTAGCCGGGCATGGTGGTGCATGCCTGTAATCCCAGTTACTCAGGAGGCTGAGGCAGGTGAATTGCTTGAACCTGGGAGGCGGAGGTTGCGGTAAGCTGAGATCTCACCATTGCCCTCCAGCCTGGGAAACAAGAGCGAAACTCGGTCTCAAAAAAAAAGAATTTGAACCCAGGCTTTCCCAGGCTTTCTGGCTCCAGAGTCCATCACATAAGGCTACCATTCAATAAATAATTGCTGCCTTAATCCACCAGAATTACAGAATCACAGTAACTGCGAACACACCCAAACGGCAGTGCAGTGTGTGGACTCACAGGAGGGCAATGCAGACACACAAATAGAAGAGACCCTCTCATATCACACCACAGACCACAGAAAAAGCACAGAGACACATCATGGCAGTCAGGGATTGTCATGACAATTGGTCACAACCACACACAGAGACACAACACACAGAAACACAGGGGCACACCCAGAGCTCCCCAAGTCCCTCCTGTTCCGCTCCCAGCCCCGCTGGGCTGGCCCTCAAGGAAACAGCAGGTTGAGGATGGGAAGGGGGGCCACCCCACTTGTCCGCTCAGCCCGACCGGTTCCACCAGGGCCACAGATGGCACAACCCACCTTGTGAAACCCAAGTGATGACTGACCCATGTTGGGCAACTGGACTCAGACCTGGTCTGGATGCCTGGGTTCTGGGGAGAAAGGCGCTGGGAGCCTGGACTCCTGTATTTCCAAAGGAGGAGGGAGTTGGGTGCCCCATTCCTTCTAAGGGGGAAGAGGAGGATTGGGGCCTGGACTCTCAGATCCTGAGGATGGAAGGCTGGGGCCTGGACTCCTAGATTCTGGGAAAAGAGGGGGCCGGAGTCCTGGATTCCTCTGTCTTTGATGGTAGGGTTCCAGATTTAGCAAATAAAACTATAGGAAGCCCAATTTAATTTGAATTTTAGATAAATAACAAATACTTTTTTAGTATAAATATGTCCCAAATACTGCATGAAACATACTTATACTAAAAAAAAACTGTTTGTTGCTTATCTGAATTTCAGATTTTACAGGACATCCTGTATTTTATGTGGCAACCCTGTTTGAGGAGGATGTAGGCCGATGCCTGGTGACTGGGCCACCATCACTCCTCAGCCCCCCAGGAGCTCCTCCTCCTGCTCACGGCCCTCCTCGCCCCCAAGCAGGCCACCTCACAGCTTCCCCAGTCTCTATTTCCTCACCTGCATGAATTGCTAGATCTAATTGGGGCCCCCAGGCTGTGTCAGGAGTGAGAGAGGAAACTTGAGGACAACTCAGAGTGTCATCCTGGGAGCCCTAGGGTCCTCGGAGATGACTGACCTTGAGTCACCTGCACCCTTAGTCTGGACAGCAGGGGGGATGGGGCCCTGTGGCTGCCTCCACGGGGCAGTTCTGGAGATGAAGAGAGATGGGAAGCGAGATTCAGAAAAGATTTTGACTTAGGAGACAGAGACCCTGGGATAAGGGCATAGAGACACAGAGCCTGGAAGGAGAGGGACCCAGAGATGGAGAGACAGAGATTTGGAAAGAGATTTGCAGAGATGAGGAAAGAAAGAGAGATTCACAGCTGGAAAGGTGAAGATGCAGGGTGAGAGACAAAGATTCAGAGATGGGGAGACAGGGATGTTAGGACACAAGTGGGAAGGAGATGTTCCCCAGACATCCAGGCTCCAGGGCCAATGATGGACGTGCACCGGCAAGACAGTGAGCGCTGCCGGGAGTTCTGGGGACAAGGAGACTCAACCATCTGGGTGGTGCTGGGAGACCAAGGCTTGGGTCCTAATGTGTTGGAGGCAGGGAGGGGATACCTCGGATCCCAGGCTAGCAGGGCGATCCACCTGCCATCACCCCATACCGTAGGGTGATGACACCACCTTCTCTGCAGGTGACACCCCAGTTTTCTAGTACCTCCTACATTTTTGGGGTGACACCCATGCTGAGAACCCCACCCAGCTCTAACACTGCTTCCCTCACTGAGTCACCTCCCAACCCCGTCAGGCCTGTTGAGGGGAGACTTTGGCGACTCAGGCATCCAGGCCCCCAGCTCCTTCCCTGCTCAGGAGCCCAGCAGTGTGGAATCCCAGGACCCCTACCTTACTGAGGGATGTGCTCCTGGCCTCATGAGACATGGGAGTCCGGGGCCCCAGCCCCTCCTCCCTCAGACCCAGGGGTCCAAGCCCCCAGTCCTTTGCTCCATTAGGACCCAGGAGTCCCGGGTGACGTCCATGTCCTTCAGGAACTGCGGCTTTTCAGTTCCCAACCTCCTCCCTTCCCAATTTGGAGCTGGGGTGAGGTGTGTTTATTTACTTTGGTTCCAACATGAGTCATTCCCCAAAACACACTGCCCCCCATGTGTCTCCTGGCTTGAATGGGGAGGACATTGTCCCCTTCTCCCAGGAAAGTGGGGACATCACTGAGAGTCTGATGAGAGACCCTGAAAGGGGAGTCCCACACAGCACTTTCTCGCACTCCACCTGGCCTTTCTCTCTCCCCACCCATCACCTCTCCCCATTTCCCTACCCTCTAAGCCTGTTCAGTGATTCCCCCACCTGCCTCTCCACTTTTCCATCTCCATCTCTCTTCTGTCTCCCATCTCCCCATTTTTTTTTTTTTTGAGACAGTGACTGCCTCTGTCACTGAGGCTGGAGTGCAGTGGCAGGAACACGGCTCACTGCAGACTCAACCTTCTGGACTCAAGCAATCCTCCTGCCTCAGCCTCTCAAGTAGCTGGGACTACAGGCACATGCCACCATGCCCGGCTAATTTTATTTGTATTTTTTGTAGAGATGGGGTCTCCCCATGTTGCCCAGGCTGGTCTCCAACTCCTATGCTCAGGCGATCCTCTCGCCTCAGCCTCCCAAAGTGTTGGGATTACAGGCGAGAGCCACCACGCCTGGCCCATCTCCCCTCTTCTTGTTATTTTTTTTTTTTT